GAGGAGGAGGAGGAGGAGGAGGAGGAGAGGCTGGCCATGAGTATGTGGAGAGAGGGGGAAGCTGAGAGGGGGGAGGGGAGGGGAGGAGAGGGAGAGGGGACAGAGTGGGAGCAAGAAGGCAAGAGAGAGTGGGGAAGGGGGCAAGCAGCCAGCCCCTTTTATAGTGAGTCAGGCACACCTGGCTTTTGCCAGGTGATTGTGGGGCAGAGCCCGGACAAAATGCTAACAACCTGTGGTAGCCTGGACACCTGAGGACACACACTGAGTCTTGCTGTTAGCTCCTGAGGAATGACACCAAAAGCATGTGTGTCCCCACCCCACCCCTATCCCATTCGATGTATGGGGTAATCCTGTGAGGAGATCTCTGAAAACACACATCCACACGATGTGTTTGTTCACACCACTAACAGCAAACACTGAATATGCTCTGTGCCCCTCCCCCAACAGCTAGCTTCCAGCTACAGGGCAACCTGGCCTCAGCCCACCCTGGCCGATCTAACCCTGCAGCTTCACAACTTTTTCTGTCTCCTCCCTAGTCCCGATCCTATGACGCTCCATCCTAGGACCAGCCCCTGTCACCACCGTCAACTCTTTAGACTGTGAGGAAGATCAGATGCAAAGCCCCTATTTCCACATGTGTGACCAAGAATGGAAGTGTGACTCTCAGAAAAGCAGGTGGCAGAAACTCAGCAGCCCATAATCCCCTGGGTAGGGCTTTGCAGGAGGACGATGGGGGTGAGAAAGAGGGAAGGGGAGGGGAGGGAACAAACAGCACTGCCAAGCAAAGGGGGCCTGCTGCCCTGATCTCCCCAAGAAGAATCATCCAGAGCAGGGCACGGGTTCCAGTGTTCTACTACAGGGACAACACTCATCAGGTGGCCATTAATATTTGTTGGGTGTGGAATCACTTCCTGAGCGGTAGGAACAGAATACTGGAAGAAGCTTAGGTAAAAGGGTCGGAGATTTCCTTCTAAAAACTGGGGCTTCAGCACCAAGACGGGAGAACCAAGACTGGATGACTGGGCTGGATCCTCTGTTCATACTCACGGAGCGGAGTGTAGGAGGCAGCCCGGCACCCAGAGGAAGTGGGAGGTGAGAAACAAATCTGTTCAAACCAGTGCTGCAATGGCCTCCTTCCTGGAAATTCCTGTTCTGTCGCCTCATCCTGTCGCCTCATCCCAAAAGAGGGATGGCCTAGATGGGCTCAGCCCAGAGGGACCTGACAACCTGAAGGGCCGGAGATGAGGCATCCTTGGTCCAGCACTTCCTCAGCCTCGCGGCAGCAGAGATTCCCATGAGCGCCTAGGGCTTCAGGATACAGCCTATCCCCTCACGCCTGCGCACAGGTCTTAGTATCGGTGATTGCCACAAGCCCTGGCCCTTCCACTCTCCCTGGGTTTGTCCTGAAAGGTAAGGTAGACATGCTACACCACAGGCCACGCCAGCGCTCTGATGCCACATTGTGTGCTGTGGGGCACGTAGGTCGGTCTCGGCCCAGCTTCTGGGTACCACTGGGGACTGCCGCCGTAGGCGCATAGCTCGGGACCCCGGTCGGAGTCTCAGAGGAGCACTTGTGTAGCTAGGCCAAGTGCAAGGACCGAGTTCCCAGAGGCCAGCAGCCAGGGTCCTCCTCCCCACCAGCCAGAGACCCGCCCACAGCCCGTGGAACGCCCCGCCTGCAGCCCGCCCCCGCCATCTGCGCTCCGCTCAGCCTGCTTGGGAGCCTTCAGCCTTTGGTGATCTCCAGGACCTAAGGTTTATCTTCGGGGCCGCTTTACCCGGAGGTGAGTCTGTTGAACTCGGCCTCAGGTGTCCACGCGTCACGCGGGGGCCGGGCCACGGCGGGGAAACACTGGGAGAGAGCGGACGGCCTTGGCTGCAGCGCGTAGGATGTGGGGTCCCGGCGCTCTGCTCCCGGGTGCAGAGTGATTGGAGCCTATGAGGCCCTCTGCAGCGTGCTCCGTTCCTATCATCACCCCACCCCCACCTCAGTCTTTCTGGCACGTTTCTGGAGAGGCAAAGGCCCCTGCTGAGTCCTCACTGGGTACCCCTGTCTGAACTCCTCTAACGCAGACTTGTCTGCTTAGGATCTCCAGAGGGGGGTACACTCTTGTAAACTAGGGCAGGAGTCTGGGGGTAGGGGTTGGTGGGGTCTGGGACCAGGTGGACTGGTTACCCCGAGGCAGGACCTTCCCTAGAGTGAGGAGCGGGACTCCTTTGTCTTATCCAGGATCTTGCATATCAATGCTGAGGTTCAGGTTATTAAGTAGGGTCCTTGGGTAGCGGGGTAGACTTGAACGTCTTTCCTCTGCTGGCAGCCTGCCAATAGACACCTGGCTTCCGCTGAGGAGCCCTGTGAGTTTGTGGAGGAGTACCTGAGTCCCCTAGGGCCCTGCCCCATTGCCTGCTAATGGTTGCTGTGGACGGACAAAACATTGCACTGGATTTCAACCACTCCACCCGTTTCTTCGCTAGTCCTCCGGTGGACGATAGGATGCCACAATGACTTGTTTGTGGCTGTGCATTCCAGAGCTTCCTAGCAGACAGCTCAGGGCTCCTTCGTTCCTAAACCCCACTGTGTAATAAAAACAAAAACAAAAAAACAGAAATGAGGACAGGCCCAGCTAGGCTTGACGCTGAGCTTGGCCACCTGGAACTTCTGCTACCCACTACAAGGCTCAGGACAGGAGAGGCCTAAGGCCAGTCCTGGAGGATACCAAAATTTCGCCTCCCACTGCACCCCCTTCCTCTAAGAGGAAGCCACCCCTATTTTTTTTTTTGTCTCTGGGATGCCCCTCTCCCACTCAACAGATGGCACCCATCTCCTTCGTTCCTGAGGGGCCAATGGTATTCAAAATAGGACATTGAAACCAAGCAAACTGGTCCTTTCTCTACCCTGTGCCAAAGATTCCAGCCCAAAGGGCCCAGAAAAGCCCCATGGCCCACTGGCTAGTGTGCTAACTGCTGCAGGTGTCGATGTTCCCAGCCAGCAGGTAGAGCAGTGGAGGTGTCTTTTTGTGGAAATGGGTCCTGAGGCTCCACCGTGTACAGAAAGGAATTAGTGAAGCCCAGAGGCCTCCAGCCCTTGTTTCCACCACAAGAGAGAGAGTGGCACGAATTTGTTTCCCAGGGTTCCAAGAAGGTTTTTGGGTTCATGCACACTCATTTATCTGACCACTGCCTTGGCCTCAAGACAACCACTTAACCCTCCACTTTCATGGCACTCTGAGAGTTCTTGGTCTTCTCTACTTGGCCTCTGGTGCCCCCGAGTTTGGGAAGGGGTACTAACTGAAAGGTACCATTAGATGGAAAAAGATTTGTCAGGTGCCAAGAGAGATTTCAGGTAAAAGCTCTTTTAATAACTGGCCACAATAGCAGCAGGAGGGGGCCAGGTGTTCTGAGGTAGAGATTTGATTTGCAGCCCATGGAGCAAAGGAGAATTCTGACTCCTACAAGTTTCAAAGTGGGGAGGGGCTCTCAGATGAATGGAGCGTACTGTGAGGTAAGTGTTAGCACGAGATTGGCTTAAGGCTGTACAAATTGTTCTGATTGGTGCAGGGACCAGGTAGATACTAGATAAGAAACTGGGCCTTAACTCAAATTGTCTCAACGGCTAGCCCCAGGGCAGCAGGGAGTTAATACTGCTATCCTGCTCTGTCTGGGGCCTGGCTGCTGGAACTATCTACAAAAGGAACATAGGGCTGACTGGGGAGGTGTAGAGCATGCAGGCCCAAGGTCTGGTGCTAAGCCAGGATCCTGGGTGGTGGGTGGGTAGCCTGTCCTTTAACCAACTGCCTCTCTCACAGCGAGCTTCTTTGGCTTGTGAGCCTTCAACAGATGTCTGCCGCTTCCAGCATGAGAGTCTTCCTGCCTGTGCTGCTGGCAGCCCTTCTGGGTGTGGAGCAAGGTATGGAGCTCTGAGATACCAATGCTGTCTGGCCCTCGTGACCTATCATTCTTTCCCCTGAGCAGATGCCCAGGAGGGCTCCTCCTGGGCCAGCCCTCGTGTGAACCTCTGGCCTTCCTGCCTCCCACTCCCTAACCAAGTGACCTAGTTCCCCTGCTGCTGTGCTGGCCCAGCTACACCGTTGTCACCTCATGTTGAAGGAGACACTCTAGCCCCTCTAGTACCAAAGTCTGAAGTCCCTTTTCATTGACTCTCTTTTTTCTCTGATCTAGGGCCGAGCATGTGTAGTTGTTTCTCCTTGTCAGCGGGTTGGGTATCTAGGGTCCCACTGGAAAGGCACCATGTCCTGGAAGGCTTCCCCAGGCAACAGGCAGGTGTCACCTACAGCATGTCCCTTTTACAGTCCATTCCCTGATGTGCTTCTCCTGCACTGACCAGAAGAACAATATAAACTGCCTGTGGCCGGTTTCATGCCAGGACACAGACAATTACTGTGTCACGTTATCTGCTGCTGCTGGCTTTGGTGAGTAACTGGATATTTCCCTAACCTGGGCCAGGAATCCACAGGGCCTTCCCCATCTCTTGCTACCTATATGTCATTCTCACTTTCTATTCAGGGAATGTGAACCTTGGCTACACTCTGAATAAGGGCTGTGCCCCGACATGCCCCCGTGAAAGTGTCAATATCAACCTCGGTGTGGCATCCGTGAATAGTTACTGCTGTCAGAGCTCCTTCTGCAATTTCAGCACGGCTGGCCTTGGACTTCGTGCCAGTATCCCACTCCTGGGTCTTGGACTCCTGCTCAGTTTGCTAGCTCTGCTGCAGCTTAGCCCCTGACCGCCCCCATGTGTTCCCCATTTCCCCCCAGCTCAGGAAAAGCCCAGCTCCTTTTAGGTCCCAGGGGACCGTAGGAACCTTCAGCTCCTCCTGGGTATGTGTAGTTCCCCTCCACATTCTCTCAGCGTCAGGGCTAAGTACCAAATTCACCCATATCTGGTCTGTTGAAATGGTACTAGCTACCCTTGCTTCCAGAGCCAATCCTATAACCTCTCTTGGGGAACCAGGGTAAGGGGTGAAGATCTCCTTGGAGTCTCAGGAGTACCGGAGTCTGCCCTGAATCTTGTGGACACACTGACATGGATGTCTAACCCAAATGAGTGTACATCTGTGTGCTCAGTGTATCCTTGTGTGAATGAAGCCACTTGGATTCTGGGGTGGGCAAAGAAGACCGGAAAGATCCTGGAGCAGAAGGCCCGTGTCTCCACCAAAACCCCTTCCCCTGGTATCACTGTACCAGAGTTGTACTCTATTCAGGAGGCTGCCGATGGAGGGCTGCCACCCCTCCAGATGAAGGCTCCCACCCCCAGATGCAGTTGAGTCCCTACCTGCCATCTCTGCCCACACTGGCTTCCTGCTGCTATTCTAGTGCCTCAAATAAACTGTTTCCACCCATTCCTGCAGTGTCCTGGATATATGTCCTTACTCCTCTTCCACCTTGCAGAGTCTTCCTTCCCTTCCAGTCCCGAGGGACCTGGGGACCCTGCAAGCCCACAGCTCCGTATAAGTGGTCCTGAAAGACCACCCTGATATGGTGATACATGCCAACAAAGCAGAAGCAGAGGGATCTGTGAAGCCAGCCTAGTGCATAGCAAATCCCAGGAATCTAGGCCCGTTTAGTGAGACAGGCCTGAGAGAAAAGAGGAGAAGGAGAAAGTCAGAGAGAGCCCGAAAATGTGCTGTCTCTGGCTGTAAGTCAGCTGAGAAGTACAGCTACCCATAAAGGCAGACCTGTCAGGCTGGTCACACATTCCCAAGCTTAGACTGCACCAGAGACTTCAGAGGCCTGCTGTTGCCACCTGTCCTTCATAAAGCCATGGAAATCTGGCCCAGGCAAGAGATACTTGTCCACCTTATAACAGGCTTTGATTTTCCTC